ATGATATGCACAGTAATACCTGCCTACCTCACAGGATTGCACTAAGGACTCAATTACATAATATACATGAAAGCACTTTATAAACCAAAGAGATCTAAGTGAGCATAATAAATGCCTAGGTTCCCACAGGAAAGAAAGAACTATGATTCAGTCATGGCCACCACTTTTATCTGCTTCTCAAATATTAAAGGGACAGAAATCACCTGGAGGTCCTGTCAAAGTGAGGGCTCTGATTGGACAGGTCTGGGCCAGGGCAGGTGACAGTCTGTGTTATCTACCAGGTTCCAGGGTGAGGCCTATGTCAGCTTCTGGGACCACCTTTTTGAGGAATTAGACTCTAAAGGATCATCCTAATTCCTGGTTCATGGTCAGCCTTAGAGAGCGAATTTCCTGGCGGGGCAGTGGCTCAGCACTTTGGGAGGCTGAGGCGGGTGGATCACGAGGTCAATAGATGGAGACCATCCTGGACAGCATGGTGAAACCCCGTCTGTACTAAAAATACAAAAAAAATCAGCTGGGTGTGGTGGCTCATGCCTGTAGTCCCAGCTACTTGGGAGGCTGTGGCAGGGGAATCGCTTGAACTCAGGAGGCAGAGGTTGCAGTGAGCCGAGATTGTGTCACTGCACTCCAGCCTGGTCGACAGACCTAGACTCCGTCTCAAAAAAAAAAAAAAAGAGTGTATTTCCTGAGTATAGTGCAGACTCTGGTTTCCTTAAAGTGAGCTTTGGAATAAGTCTGTATACTACATCTGGTTCAGAACATAGTATTTTACAAACTCAGTATTAAAATGTTCTTTCTTGGGCAACCAAAGAGCTAAAGGGTTGTATTTTAATTAGAGTGTCTGCTATTCCGTTTTCCAGGATAAGAGTCAACAACATGTAAAAACATAGAAAGCTGTTTTGTCAGTTCACTATTACATGATTTCAGTTCCTCTCAAAAGGCTGGCAGGAGGCAGGGAAGAACCCTGTTCTTGTAATCACATCCCCGCCTCAAAAAGAAAAACCTGGATTCTCAAAGATTTCAGATTGACAGGGGACCAACTTGTCTTTTCTATCTGGAGAAACGGTCTCAAAATATCCAGGAGAACAAAACCACCTGAGCAAACAAGTAATTTGCAGAAATGCTGATGCCTCCTGATAGGGAAGTACTCTGGGCTCAGACTTGGCAAAGAATAAAAAAGAAACCCACAGCCTCTGTAAGGCAGTGGTTCTCCAACGTGGGCGTGCATCAGAATCACCTGGGAGGGCTTCATAAAACACAAATTGCCACACCTCAAGAGTTTCTGACGGACTAGGTCGAAGGTAGAGCCCAGGAAGAGACCGACGCTGAGGGTCCCACATACAAGCTGAGGTTGGTCTGAGTCTAGCACTGAGTCTCGACAGCAACCTTCCCAAGAGGAACCACGTCTCCCTCACAGCTGCACACAAGCACCAGCAGTGTTAGGAGCACACACAGTTGGTCCCCAGTAAATATTTGCCGAATGAATGACCATTATAACTTTCATTTCCAGGAACAATTTTACTACTTGTTTATGCATACTTGCTGCGAGTATCTTATAGAGATTCATTTCAAAAAACATAATTACATATATGCTGGGCACTAAAGCCCTTAACCTTAAGGGGTCCACAGTTAAACTGACCCCAATCGCAGACACTAATATCACACTTTTTCCTTATAACACCCAGATAGTTAAATCTTAGAGCCTTCTGCCACTGAAGTCAAAGAAAACAACTCGCCTATCTAAAGAACCCTAAATAAAACCCTGCTTAGTCCAAATGGACCAATTCATTGCATACATACACCCACCCACACACACACACACACACACAAAATTAAGACAAGAATTTGCCAGGAAGGAACACAAATACCTGTGCCCACACTGGAAACTCAGGGGCCTCCTTAAAGCCTCTTCCAGTTGCTGCTAACCAGAACGCAGCCCAGGGAAGAGCCCCAGGTGAAAATGCTACTAACTCTTTAAGGATTTCTTCTCTAAATCCTTCCACGTTCACTGAGCAAAGCTCAGAAAGAATTTTGGCAGTCGTTTTTCAAATCCTCTGCCTGATCTGCATGTTACCATAGTCGCATTCATTCGGAAAAACAGGTGTTTCTGTTAAAATTAGCTGTTTCAAACTGCCAAATATTTTAGATCCCTAGGCCAGCTTAAAAAAAAAAGTGTGTATAAAATAACCAATCAGATGTAACTGATGCTTCCAGAATTATAAAAATGAGGATGGGGTGAGGGTGCAGTGAGGGGTGGGGAAGAAGGCAAATACACACACACATCACATAATTTGTATATTTCCTAACATCACCCAGAATGAATAATAAAGACTACACTTAAAACAGGCAAAGAAAGATGGAGCTGTGCTTTCCTCTGGTTCTTATGTTTGAAACACTGTTTTTGTTCCATTTACCAAGTTGACTATCATAAATAATGTCTTTTGTTCAACGAACTTAGCCATAATGATTTCCTTTTCTCATGACCATTCCAAGGAAGAAGGTTCTCAACATTCCCTGGTCGAGACGATGTGCATTAAGTCTGTATAAGAAAACTTGCCCTCAGACGTCAGAACCCAAGGATTAATGTCTTAAATTAGCTCCAGGGTGGTTTAAAAATTAAAAAAAAAAAAAAACAAACAAAAAACCAGGCTACTCTGATTTACTCCTGGAACCAGTATCTCTGCTGACCTTATTAAACCCTATTATGAAATAGGTCTGAGACACTGCTTTTTCAAAAATCAGGGCTATTCAAAAAACAAGTTTAGCAAGTGGGACATTAGAGGAAAGGTAAAATGTCAAAGACCTGTGCCCAAATCCCTTGCCTAGCGTTCCTCACTGTGGCTTACTGAAATCCGCTAGAAAAAAAATACAAGCAGAATTCATTTTAAGACACCTTCTGGAAGAAAAGCCCTGAACTTTATCTTATAAATGCGGAGGGGGTGGGGGGGTGACGTGAAAACACTTAAGTTTAGAACTTTTATCAACTTCAGGGGATAGAGATTATGCATGCTACATGACCAAATGTAGAATACACAGAAACACTAAGAGCAACTATCATTTAGGTAAGAGGTTTCAAAATTAATTTAGTGACTAGCCAGTTAACTTATTCCAAACAGATAGGGAAAGTGATTTTTTTTTAATTGGCTTGAGCTGTCCTGAAAATTGCTTCTGCAAGGAAAGAGTCCAAGAAAAAACTGGCAATTCTTTTTCTTAATCTAATACCAAATTTGCAGATTTCTGGCCCTTATTTTACTTAGTGTTTGTTCTTTTCAGTTTACTCTCTGTGACCTGCATAGGATAAATGAAAATGAACCATATAATCAAACTCTATCATTACTTATGTACATTCAATAAATAAACAAACACTTCTATAGACATGCAGGATTGTCACTGGCACATGAGTTAGAATCCCACCTCCCCTTTTGAGACCATTTCTCCAGATAGAGAAGACAAGTTGGTCTCCTGTTAATTTGAAATCTTTGAGAATCCAGGTTTTTCTTTTTTGTGCGGGGGGGGGGGGGGGG